CAGCCACTCCTCGGAAGGAAGGTTGGGCAATCCTACTTCTGTAGTGATACTGCCTCGGAAACCCAAGGAGGGGTCGCTATGAGTTGGGGCCGACTTGAAGGCAAATAACAACAACAACAACTATGTTCTGGGCACTATGCAAAGTGCTTTCTACCTAAGGTGTCATGTAATCCTCAGAGCAACCCCATGAGGAATTATCTCTAGTTTACAGATGAGGAATCCCCCCTCTTTTATCCTCCTAGCCCCTCTATAGCTCTTCTCCCTGAGCCTGGAACAACACAGGTTCAGCCAGGCTCATAGCTTGGTACATCTGAGCTCAAATCTCTGTCTTCCACTTACTCACTGCATGGCTTTGGGCAAGTTATCTGCCCTTTCTGGGCCAGTGTCTTCAAGAGACAAAACAGGGAAAATAATCAAGTCATAGCCACCTCCTGGGCTATTGTGGGAATCTGACAGAAGAGTGCAGTGGCTCTGCCTTGGAACCTTGGCATATTGTGTGTCTCAGAAAATTGTGAGGTGTATGGGCAATAATTTGCAGCTATTAACAGTTAAGTTAGGAAAGGTTGTATTTTTAGTACAAATATGAGTGGATTCAATGTTTTGTCTGCAATGACATCATTCTCACTCTATTGCATTCCACAAAGCCTTCCTGAACGGGAGATAAAGGATCCTTGTGACAGCTAATCCTAGGGGGAATTTGCCCTTAGCTGCAGCCTATCTTATCTGTGCCACAACCCATGGGAGTGCAGCAAGCAAGCAAATACCATCTCTCCTGTGGTGTCCATAGATAAGGCTGAGAACCACTGAGCTGACACTAATGATGAAAAGCACTGGCATGGGCTAGCACATAGTAGGTGCTTCTTGGCAGAGGGGAACACAGGAGGGTAAGGAAAATGAAGATTCTGGTTATAGACCACTGCATAATCCCATCACCCTCACGCACAATGTGGGAAGGCACAGGGTCTGACTGAAAGCTGCTGCATAAAGTTGACACCAAAGACTTATGGTTCAAGCCCACCTAGAGGAATCTTAGAAAGTAGGTTTGGCATCTACTTCCCAAAAATCTGTCATTGAAAACCCTGTGGAACTCAGTTCTTCTGACACACATGGGGTCACCATGAGTTGGAATCAACTCAAGGCCAACTGGTTTTTGGTAGGGATCGAAAACTATGATTGTAACATTTATGCCTAGGCCAGGCACTGGGGAAAATGACCCCCAAATTATCTTGTTCTGAGGCCATTAGTTTAACAAGGAAGCTCTTAGCTGCTAGGTTGTCCCCAGTAGGCAGCCTCACAGGTGCCTGGGGCGTCAACAGGCCTTCCTCCCTCCAGCCACCTCCACCAGCCCACTCTTGCTCATTCTCTGGCTGGCTTTCCAGTTCCTCCTCATGACTACAACTTCACCCTGGCCCCCATGCTGATCTGACCAACTCCAGCAGGTCACCTTGCCCCAAGCCTGCCTGAGGAGCCCCCCAGTTGAAGATGGCTGTACCTGGCAAGACTCAGGGCCATGCTAAGAGCCAGCCCCATCCTCTCACAGTGGCTAAGAAGCTACTCTCGTTAGAAGAAGGAGCCCAGCCACGAGCTCCAGGTAGGGCTCCTCCACTTGAAATCCACTGGGTAGTTGAGACCATCAGTTATGGCCTCCAGACCAAGGGCAGCTGTGAAGTCTTATCATTTCTCAACCCCAACCTACCTTTCACCTCTAGCAGTGAGACAGGATGGGGGAGAAATCAAAGAGTGGGTTAGCACTGCAACATTTCACCTCAAAGTCCTTATCCCCTGTACCATTCATTGCCCTTTCCCCAGTATTTCTCCCTTCCCCACAGTGGGCACAGCGATTGCAGACACAGCCAGAGTCCATCCAAAAAAGACTGGGATTCTTTATTTAAATCAGCAAACTCACATTCCTCAAGGCCCAGACCACGGTGGGCAGCCCTCCCTTCTTTGTCCCCTCACCACCACCTCTTAGCCACAGCAAGAGGAATGGAAAATGAGAAGCCAAGAGGGCCTCTGCTGGGGAAGGCTGCCCCAGATGTGTGGTGAACACAGTCCAGCTGTGGCTGGAGTGGCAGCCACCACAGGCCCCTCCCTATAAATTAAATCCCTGCAGCTACAGCTTGTGGAAGGAAGGCTAGTCCAACATCATAAGGCCAGGAGGCAGCAGCCCTAACCCCCAGCCAAGGAATGGATTGAAGGCACAGAGCCCAGGAGGAGAGCTCAGAAGGAAAGAGAAGAATTGGGGGGGAACCCCCAAATTTTGGTCCCAGGGGAAAAGAAGACAGGCCAGTTGGTCCAGTTTTGGTGGATTTGTGGAAGGGAATGGGAATGTATTAGTAAGTATGGGGAGAGGCCACCATTGGGCACCTCTAGAGGAGACAGGCTACGCCAGTCTCCAACCCTGGCAGAGGGGAGCCTGAGGGCTCCAGGGGCTCTCAGGGAATGTCATTGCTTAAAAAAAAAAAACTTATATATATTAACCATTCACGGAAGGGTGGGGCACGGGTGGGGCAGGATCAGAGGATCTGGCGTGGCATCCCATAGCCAGTCATGCCTGCCTGAGATGCCCCACGGTTGGTGCCCATCTGCAACCCTATCACATTCTTGCCCTCTTGCAGCTGGTTGTCTGAGAAGTTCCGAGGGTTCTCCTTGGATTTCCTGGGTGGGAAGAGAGAGCTGGTAAGAAGGAGGTCAGAGGTTGCCCCAGTAAAGCTCTCCCCTGTACAGATCATAGCCTTTGCTGTGGGCCCAGTACTGGCCCCAGCTCTGCCCTTGAGAGCCTTGAGCTCTCTGAAGACACCTTTTCATCTCATCTCAAAAGGGACAATAACTTGTTATCTGAGGGAGTTATAAGGATAAGGATTAAGTGAGACGAGGAATGTGGAAGTGCTTCCTAAAGGGCCAGGGCTAGGGAAACATCGGTTGTTCCCTAGGGACAGGAGTGGGCAGGGACACTGTGCCTGCCCCAGTCTTGCAGCTGGCCCAGCAATACTTACTTGGGAAACCAGTTGGGATCCCCAGAAAACAGCCCATCATCTCGGGCTACTGCCAGCCCACCCAGATTCATCAGTGTCCGCTGTACACAGGCCATGTTCTTCCCTGGGAAGGAGAAGAGGGAGGTGTTGGCCTCAGCAGGGCTAAGGTTCTGGATACCTTCATCACTCAGTCAGCAGTCAGTCAGCAGGACTGGTCTCCTATAGTTCTTCTTTTTCCCCATACCCTTCTCCACCCCAACTCTCAACATGGCTTAGTCTCTCATAAAACACACACATACACCCCTCTTGGCTCTGTCCCCACCCACCTTCCCAGAGGTCCACAGTCTGGAAGATGTCCGTGGTGTTGATGCCATAGCGCTCAGCTGCCTGCAGGAACTGAGAGATCTGCTCCATCTGCTTGAAGGCCATGGTGGAGGCCTGGATCTTCTTTACTGGGGCCTGGCCCTCAGGGTACAGTCCATTAATGAGCTCACAAAGCACCTGGGTGAAGGAGAGCAGGTTTGCAGAGGTAAAGACATGCTTACCACAGGTCACCATGTGCTGCCTTCAGCACCAGTAGCTGTGGACCAGAGAGGTTCCTCTTCTACCTGAAGACAGCTCAGACACCTTCATTTGGAGTGAGCCTCAAGGGTCCTTCTTGCCCAGCCTCTGCTTCTGAGCCCAGAATGAAAAGCCAGCATTTAATCTTTCCTTTCTATTATACTATCCCTCTGACTAGAGCACACCTGCTCTTTCCTTAGAGATATTCTTTGGTGTCACCTAGGGCCTTCCTTCTACAGGAAGAAATACAGGAATGTTCCTCCTTACCCTTCACGCAGTGGGCAGGAAGGAAAGCATGGGTCTTTGCACAATAAAGATGTCCAGGCTGAGGGAGAAGTTGGGAATGGTGTGCCCTTAGCCTTTTCTTCCTCAGGTTGAAAAATTCCCAGGTTCCCGCACCCAGCCCTGCTCTCTGACACTTTCAACCCTCAGTGGGCCCAGCTCTCACTGTTCCATCCTTGAGCCAGTTCTGGAAGTTCTCCCGGCCAGGCTGAGGCCGGCCCACATCCTTGCGGCACTGGGTGGTGATCCACTGGATCAGGATCTGCTCCAGGTCTGTGTCGTATTGTTTCTCAATCTTCTGCTGCACCTCCCGGCTCAGGCCATAGGCAGGTCCCCTATTGGCCATTCTGATGGCTAGTGGTGGCTGTAGGGAGCTGAGGGGAGAATACACCTGGGATCAGCACCTGCAGGGACACACATTATATCCTCTAGGGTGGGTCCCAGGGGTGAGGACCAGAACTGCTGCCATACCAAGGAAATCTCTTCTTAACCCCTGGACAGGGACTAGAATAACACTCTTCAGAACTTTGGAAAATGTCATTGGGTTACACAGGCCATCTATGGATTCCCCATTAGATTTCATTTAAACAAATGGCTGTACTATTAGAATGAAGCATAAAACCCACTGGAGTAGAATAAGGGGTACATAAGACCAAGATAGGAGATTCAGCCCCTCATTTGGACTGGTCAGCTTTAACATAGGCAAATTGGTCCTTCTAACTCCAAATTTTCCCTTTACAGCCCTGAGAAGGCAAAGGATTCAGGATAAGGAGGAAGAACATGGAGCAGCTTGGGAAACCTGTGCTAGCAGCTAGAAGACTGGATGAATCAATCCTTGACCAGCCACTGGGTTTTCATTGAACAACTGCAATTTATGCTAGAGACTGTGGAAGAGAGAAAAGTTCTTTGTCCTAAAGTTGCCCAGAGTGTTATTAAGGAGACAAGGTGAGTGCATATGGAAGGGTAAAGATTGCACACAGTTAGACAACATACTGTAGGAATTCAGAGAAGAATATGGGCAGAAGCAGCCTGGGGAGCTGCCTGGAAGATGTTGGTCTAGGTAGGTCCTTAATGGATTTCAGCAGACAAAAGGGAACTTCACATGAGAAACCAGACAGTAAGAACTGGTTCTACTTTCCCTCCTAGAAGCTGTGGCACAAGAACTTGACTACTAACCAAAAGGCTGGCAGTTCAAAGCCACCAGCTACTCCTCAGAAGGAAGGTTGGGCAATCTACTTGTGTAGTGATACTGCCTCGGAAACCCAAGGAGGGGTCGCTATGAGTCGGGTCTGACTTGACGGTATATAACAACAACAACAACAAGATCACCAGGGAGCTCTGGTGGCATAGTGCCTAAGGCATTTAACTGCTAACCAGAAGGTTGGTGGTTCAAACCCACCAGCCACTCCGCGGAAGGAAGAACGGGCAATCTATTTCCGTAAAGATTTACTGCCTTGGAAACCCAAGGAGGGGTTGCTATGAGTCCGAATCAACTCAACGGCAGTGAGTTTGGTTTGTTTTAAAGATGTCCACTCCTAATTCCCAGAACCTCCTTCCATTTGCCCAGACTATGTTACGTTATAGTGCGGATGCAATTAAATTAAGGACCTTGAGATATTATCCTGGATTTTTCAGGTGGCCCAATGTAATCACAAGGGCCTTATAGGTGAAAGAGGAAGTCAGAGTCAGAATCAGAGAAGGAGACGCAATGACAGAATTAGAGGTTGGAGTGATGCAAGGCCATGAGCCAAGCAACGCTGGCAGCTTCTAAAAGCTGGAAAAGGCAAGGAAATGGATTCTCCCCTAGAGCCACCAAGAGAAATGTAGCCCTGCTAATACCTTGATTTTAGCCCAGTGAGACCGCTGCCAAACTTCTGACTTCTACAGTTGTAGGATAATATATTTGTGTTGTTTTAAGCCACTAAGATTATGGTAATTTATTATAGTAGCACTAAGAAATTAATACAAGAGCCGGTATTTTTAGGGAAACCTGGGAACAGAGGGAAGGATGAGGAAGTACACAGGAGGGTTTCTTTAACAGTTTGAAGACTTTGGTTAGCAAGAATGGGAGGTTTCCTGACCACTGGCCTGAGTTGGCAGAACCTCTCTGCGGCCTGTCCCCATACACCACCTCACTGCCTGGGTCCCACACCCAGGGACCTGTCAATCAAGCCCTAGATGCTACTGATGCCCAGGGGGAGCTGAACCAGAGAAATTACACGGTCCCCTACTTCCTGACCCCTTCCTGGACAGGCTCTTCTGCTCTGCAATAGAGCTAGCCTTCTCTCTGCTCACCAAACGGGATCCCCAGGACCAGCACCTGTGTTCAAGGGGGGTGGGGGAGCCGCCCTTTCTTCCCACTTCTGATTCCAGGCCAAGCTAGGTTAGATTTAAGAGATGAAGTCATGCTGGCCCCTCCCTCCCACACACCCCAGGTTAAACAATCTGGCCACCCCCACAATGGGCCTCAGGGTTCAGCTGCAGTACAAGAAGCCAGACCACAGGGGATGCAGCTGTTCAACACCCTCACACCTCTCAGTACCAGAGCCCAGGACAGGCTTTCAGCCTGGAAGGCTAAAGCCAATCCCCTCCGTCATACTCCAACATGGCCGCTCCTTCCTGCTCCTCTTATCGAGCTGCACATTTCAGGCAAAAAGCCTCCCCATAAATCAGTTATTTTTAAACCTCATTAAGAGTAACCCAGCCCCTCCCCCAACTTCCCCCAGGCTGAAAGCTGGGCCAGATGAATGTGGGTCTGGGCCCTGACCTTATACGACTATCCGCAACACAATCAACTGGGGTGAAGGCAGGCAGTTGAGTGGCTGAGGCCTGAAGAAAAAGGAAGGCAGCTTCCTTCCCCTCCACAGCCCAGCCCCAACTTCTCAGCACACTCGCACCAAAGCCATCAAAACCCTTTGCTATCAAGTCAATTCCAACTCATAGTACCCCTCTAAGATAGAGTACAACTGCCTCAATGGGTTTCCAAGGCTGTAATCTTTATGGAAGCAGACTGCCACATCTTTCTTTCTTTTTTTTTTTTTTTTTTGCTAAGCAGCAGCTAGTGGATTCAAACCACTGACCTTTTGGTTAGCAGGCATGGGCTTTACCATGTGCCACCAAAGCTTCTCCTGAGCCATCACTGTCAAAATAAGCCTATAACCTCTAATACAGAGGAGGATGGCTGGAAGACTTGGCAGGATGACAAGGGGGCTGGAGGGCTGTCATCACTCCCTATTCCCTGCCCAAGTTTCCAGACCTCTCTTCTGGGAGCAGTTTCACTGTAGTCACACAGAATTTAAGGCTGTGTCTCCATGGGGCCAAGTGGCCTAAGGCCCAGGGCTCACTACAACACAGGGAAAGAAAGGTCAGGAGAATGATTAACCAAGACACAAGGGTTAGAATGAGACAACAGGGACCGAAGGCAGACCCTGCCAGTGTCCCCCCCCCCCCCCCCCGGGGGGAAGGGCAGATCAGCCTCTCAGAGCCACTTCTGGGCAGAGAGGAGAGGATGGATGCTGAGGGCCTCTCCCACATTCCAGGGTCCGGATACAGCTGGCAGGGCCGTGGCCTCCAGCTGCAAGGTCTCTGCTCCACTCTGGGGCCTTTGCCTTAGAGCCCCAAAATGCCAGAGCCACAGGGCAGAGCTCTGCAAAGGGGTGGGCCCAGCTGGGTCCAGTCTGGCCAGCAGCTGTTTTCTCCACCCGACCCCTACAATCAGGCAGGAGCTGATGGGCTGCGGCTGCTGGAGTTGGAGAGGCCCACCCTGTCGACAGACACCCAGGGGACCGGATCTTGCCCTATCTTGAAGGAAGGGAAAACAGCAAGTCACCCACCAAAGTGGAGAGAAGAGACAGGCCCAGCTGGAAGGCAGGCGTGGGAGATGCCCAGAGCTGGGGATCCCAGGGAAGACAACAGCTGGACGACTTGGGGGGTAGGTTGGCAGTGTGCAAGCTAAACTCCAGAGTTGACTACAGCTATGGGAACAACTCTCACCCCCACCCACAGGATTACAATGGTCAGGAAAGGGGGAGGGATCACAAGAGACACTTCCAACCCTCAGCTCCACCCATCCTGGGTTTGGAAGTTTACCTCACCCCACCCAGCGGCAATGCCAAAGGAAAGGCAGACACGAAGGGGGGCCACTTGAGAGTTCCTGGCTGAAGTGCTTAACTGGGAAGACAAAGGGACGATCATTCACTGTGGAGACAGGACACAACGGAATGTCCCAACTCAGATTTGGTGCTAGGACTATTCTGAAAGGGTGCTGAAGACACCTGCCCACAAAGAGCTACAGGGAAGAAGCAAAACCAAGGATGGTGGGAAACCGAAGATTAGGGGGCCCCCTTAGGGAATCCCCTCACCATCAAGAATTGTGAGCAGAAAAGAAAGCTGAAGTTACACAAACAGGAAGCCGCAAGGTTTGCGTGGGAGGGGGGGTAAGGAGGGGACTGTTGCCATGGCTTCTGTGTACCAAACACTGGAATGGGGGCAGGGTGGGGGCACCGGCAGAAACACCCACTCAACACCGATTAAGTATGGGAAGGCTCTGAGCACAGGGGACAGAGTTGGGGTCCTGGAGAAAGGGTTCACCTCCCAGTAGTTCTGGGGTGTAGCCAGGTACCAAATATTCCTCAAGGAAGTAGCTATGGAGGACATTTGGAGGAGACTGAGAAGTTTGCGATAGAGAGGCAGACTCAAGGAAGTAGATCAGCAGAAGAAGAAATGCCCTGGAAACCTAAGGTGTGTCCTGAGCTTGAGCGCGGCATACCTGAAAATCTGGAGGGAAGAGGGATAGAGTGAAGGAAGGATTAGACATCAGTCCCCAGGGAGCACAGGCAGAGAGAGAGAGAGAGAGAGAGAGAGAGACAGAGAGAGAGACAGAGAGAGTAAGGCAGTGGGGTGAAGGAAGGAGGTAAAGTTGGACAAAGACTACATATTGGTTCTAGACTGGTAAGGCCCATGCGCCCCTGCCTCACCCTATCCTGGCCTCCTCTGTACTTTTAGGTCTCCCCTGTGGACTCAGCACCAAAGGGGTTTGGCTTCTTTTTGGATGCGGAATTAGGAAGAAGGAATAGGGTAAGGGTTGTAAGTGGGGAGCTGTCCCTTTGTCTGGAGCACGGTAGTCAAAGAGAGAACTAAGAAGAGCCCCATCCAAACCTAGGGTCTTCTACACCGGATCTCCACACCGTCTCCCCACTCCGACCCCGCTTCTCTCTGCCCCACCAAATTCCCCTAGAACTTACTAGGTACCAGCTCTACGAGGCCTGCACAGTGCGTTAAGGAGGCGGTTCGCTTCCGGTCTGGCTCGGCTGGCCTCCACAGCCGGCCCCCACCCCACCGCCACACCCAAACCGTTACTGCGGGATGAGTCACCCACCGCCCGCCTAACGCTGGGGTGACGCAGTGGTCTGGGCAGCCCGCCTGCCGCCCGCAGCCACCGCCGCCTTTCCCAGAAGCAGGGAGCACCGGGCGGGGGGCAGCGGGACCCGGATAGGGGCAGGAGGGCCTGGAAGGCAGCCACCTCCGACCTCGCATAGGCAGGGCACTGCAGCGCTGCAGGCCCCCAGATGTCTGAGGTCAGAGGGCTCTCCTATGAGGCGAACCATCCAAGCCTCGACTCCTGACCTGCACCAGGGAAGGTTAGGCCACACTGAGACCCGTGCACAGGGCTCTGTAGCCCCAGTCCGTGACCCTAGTGCCCAGAAAAGCGAGCTAGCAGAAGGAATGGAGAGTGTGGGTTCAGGGACGCAGGCAGACAGCAGGCAGCGCCCAGACTGGCTGCTAGAACCCAGAAGTGAAGTGTCGCGCGGGAAGCTCAGTGCACATGGAGCGGGGCCAAGCGCCGGCGTCAGGGCCTGGGGCTCGCCGTCGATCGGGGCCAGCCGGCTCATCAGAGACGCACTCCTTTCCCCCGTCCCGGGAGGAATCGGCGGATGGAACGCAATCCTCGAGTCACTGCACCGGACGGACGCCCCGTCCATGCACAGCAAACCTTGCCTGACCTCATCGCCCAACAATGCCTGGTCTAGGCATGGGGGAAGGAGGTGACAGTACCAAGCGGGGCAGAGCAGTCATCGAACCCTCGCCTGACCCCAACCTTTGATCCCCAATCTCGCTGGAGCAAGTCCCAAGCGTCAGCTTCTTGCTTTCTGCAGCCCGCGCATACCCCCCTCAGTCCCTGCTCACCGTACAAGCGGGCTGGAGAGCGGCGCGCTCCGGGACGGGCTACAGCGGCGAGTGGTGCGCGGCGGCGGGGCCCGGAGTTTTCAGGCGGCTCCCGCCTCAGACGGGGAGGGCCAGAGGCGGGGCAAGGGCAGCTAGAGTTTAAAGGCACCGCAGCGCGGGGGCGCAGGGGCAGCGTTGGAAAAGAGAGGAACAATCGGCTAGAACACTGATTAGAGACCCTTGGGAGTCTGTGGTCTCCAAAGGCAGCTGTAAGGGTCTCCCGCCCACAAGAACCTCACTTCAACCTCGAAGACCATTGACTTGTACCCCAGTGGGAAACTTCCTGCCTAGGAGGTTAGGTCAAGACTGTGGGCGTGTTTATTGCGGAAGAAGCCTCCCGGTTTATAAAGGCTGGTAAGGTAAACTGAGGCACAGGAAGACGCCCCTTCGTTCTTCACTCTCGCCACTGACTGGATTGTGAAAACAGGACTGGGGCTTGCAGGCTGGGACAGCACCTCCACGTAGTCCTGCTTGCCACCTTCTTCAAGCCTGGGCAGGAACTAACGGTGAGGTCACTCCCTGCCGGAGCCCAAGGGGCGTGGTCAGTGTTGGGACCTAGGGTTCACACGAGATTTCTCTCCCTCTTCATGGGCTCCTCCATGACCTGACATCTGTTTTTAAATCCTGAAGGGATCCGAAGGGGAGGCCTCAGTGGAGGAGGAAGCCGGCAGGGATTCTGCAGTTTCTGAAGCTGTCTGAGGTGGAGAGCAGTATAATTTAGGGGTTGTAGGCTGGCCCCTCCTATTCAGGCTTCAGTTGAACAGAGTTCAACAGTCCCTAGGGGACTGCTTACTGAGGTCCCTGCTTACACCCATCAGTGGAGTTCCTCATGTTTAGTAGAGTCCTTGTTTACTGCGTTTCAAAACTATCAACAACCAGTCCCCTTCCCACCTTCCCATTCAATCTCCCAATCCTAAAACCAGGTGCCCTTAAGTGGACTTGGATTCATGGCGACCCTTTGTGTTGCAAAGAACTGTGCTCCCTAGGATTTTCAAGGCTGTGACCTTTCAGAAGTGGATCACCAGGACTTTCTTCCAAGGTACCTCTAGATAGATTAAAACTGCCAACCTTTCAGTTAGTAGTCAAGCTCTTACCCACTCCCACCAAATGATTCCCAGCTAGCCAAGCGTTATCAATCCTCTATACTTTTACACACTGTTCCTCTCCCTGGAATACTTTCTTTTCCTTGTCTGGTTTCTGGTCTGCTCTACTATTTATCAGCTTTGTGACTCTGGGCAAGTTAAGTTACCAAGGCACTCTGTCTATAAAATAGGACTAATAGTAGTACCTGCCTCAAAGAGTTGTGAAGAATTAAATAATGTATGTAAAGAGCTTACAGCAAGCAGTGCCTGACACATAGTGAATGTTCAAATGTTAGCTATTAGCACCATTATTACCACTTTCTGCTAGGATGCTTCTGAAGCTCCCCTAACCCCTCTCCCCCACCACCAAGAGTAGCATCTGTCCTAACACATGCTGTAAGCACTCACTACATGTTCATTGCCTTGAACAGAATCCTTCCTTTGTGCTATCACATTAACCAACACACAGCTTTATCACAGAACTTATCCCATCATACTGTAACTATTTGTTTACTTGCCTGCCTCACTGCCTAGAAAGAACTTCCCAAGGGCAAAGGCATGTCTTAGTGAACTCTGTATTTTCTCAGCATCTAGCTCAATGGCTTAGTTGGTGATCTCAGTAGGCACTCAATAAATGCTTTTTGAATGAATGTTCAATGCACCTCCATTCATGTAGGAAGACTCTCCTCTTTTAAGGGTCCAGGGATTTTCCCATCCCTCCTTCAGATTCTGGGCTAGACAACACACAAACATTTTTCGAATTTTTTTATTCACCTGTAAAAAACCTCACACCACAAAAAACACGCGCGCGTACACACACACACACACACACACACAGGGGCAGACCTGATTCCTGTTCCAATCCCCGGACTCACCTAGGGATCAGCATGTATCTCCCCTGCCCAAGCCCACCATCAGAGTCTGGGTACCAGAGGGGCAGAGTAGTGCCCCAGATTGGAGCTAGGTCTTGGGGTTCATGTGTCTTTGCCCAGCCTCATGTGCCAGGGATGTTCACAGCAGAGTAGCCTGTTCAGGATGGGGAACTGGCTGTCGATAGACTGGGAACCGGGCCCGAGTGGCATCTCGGCGGCGGCGGAAGGCCAGGAATTCCTCTCGAAGGGCAGCACAGCGGGCCTCAGGGCCAGGAGCATGAGCAGTGTTCAGGGTACAGCCCTCCTCTGGGGTCTTATTACCTGCAACAAGAGGGCAGAAGACAAGGAGGAGTAAGAAGGCTTGAGGTTCACAGAGCGGAAGGCTCAAACACTCTCCGGGGCCTGCCAGTGCAGATGAGTCATGAGAGCAAAACACGGTCTAGAAAATAGCCTGTTCTTGGGTCCAATGGGGGCCAGGGTCTGCCTGGGAACAGACTAGGCCCTAAGGCTTCGGAGGATGTGGGACAGTGAGACCAGGAGGGCTCACGCACCTAGCTCGGGCTCAGCTTCTGGTCGGAGCCGGGGGCCTGCCAAGCCCAGGTGCAGAGTCTCTAGCAGTTCCGTATCCCCAGGAAATTCCGAGTCCCATTCATAGTTCTCATCCACAGATGTGTTCCTCCTGTCAGATGGGACAAAGATGTGGGTGGGTGGAGGAACTGAGGGCAACCAGAAGGCTGGAGTTGGGGTTCCCAAACTTAAACTTGGCTATGAGTTTTCCTGAATATCACAAAAACAAAAGAAAACTAATTGCCATGGAGTCCATGCATGCAGAGTAGACCTGTACTCCATAGCATTTTCAAAGCTATGACCTTTTGGAAGCAGACCACCAGGCTTGTCTTCCAAGGCACCTCTGAGTGGGTTTGAACTGCCAACCTTTTAGCTAGTAGTCAAAAGCTTAATTGTTTGTGCCTCCCAGGGGCTGAATATCCCTGGACCTCAGCAAAAGAAGACAAGGTCTCCAGGCCCCCGAGTGGGAGTGGCGCAGAGAAGGCAGAGGGTATTGGGGAGAAGTTCTGAGATGACAGGGCAGGATCAGGCGGGGATGGGCAAGGAGTCCCCTCACCTCTTGCTGACTGTCACCACATGCTCCCTTCGAGGCCACCTCTCAGGGCCACTAGCCCAGCTGCTGGTGTCCCCTGGAATGGGGCTGAGGTAGCTGCCTCCTGCAGAGGGGGCTGTGGAAGGGGGCCGCAGGAAAGAAGCGCTGCCTCTCCCACTGCTCTGGCTTGTGAGACTGCCCCGAGGGGCAGCAGGGAGGAGGCCTGGCAGCAGCCGCTCCTTCAGTGTCCAGTCGGCCAGTGCTGTGTAAGGAGGCTCTCGGGGGGGTCCAGACCCTATTAGGACCCCAGGGAGCACTGCTCTGGGGGAAACAGAGTCCAGGAGACGAAGAGATGAGGTGGAGCACGGCTGGGTACCCATATAATCTGGGGGTGGAACAGGGCTGGGATCCTCAAGGGGTGGCCAGTCCCCATCCACATTCATCTCCCGAAAGAAGGGCAGGCTCAGATACTGGAGCAGGGGGCCCGGACCTGGCAGGGAGCTGGGTGGGGCTGCTGGAGTGGGCCCCACAGGGCTGATGTCTGCAATGCAGAGGGGCTGCGGGGCCCCACTGGGGCTGCTGCTACTGCAGTCAAAGGACCGGACCTGACGCCGGGCTGGGGTCCGAGGTTCTGGCTGCTTGGGGCCTGACTTTCCTTGGGGGGCCCCCACACTGGATCCCATCACAAAGCGCCCATCTGGGCCCCGGCAAATGGGCTCCAGGGGTAAGGGCCCCCAGGTAGGTGGAAGATCCGGAGGGGGGCTGGGGGGTCCGGTAGGCTCTCCCCAGAGTAGACTCTGGCGCAGACTGGGGGCTGGGGAGCCCTGGAGCTTCAGCTTCGCCACACTGTCAGGACTGCCCGAGCCCGGAGCAGAGCTGGGGAGGGACAGGAGATCAGGGTCTGTGGCCAGTCCCCCTCCCAGGAGCCAGCGTCAGGCCTTGAGAGGTCTGGAGCACAACAGAGCAGAGCTAGGGAGAGCAAGCGAGAAAAGGACCAACATGGTGGAGAGGGTGGAGGGAAGGCACAGCAACACAGGACCAGCCCCACGCTGGGGCCTCTGCACCCAATTCTCTTCTCCCTTTGACTTCTGTTCCCTGTCCTCCCACCCCTCCCCAAGGTGCAGGAAAGGAAGTAGAGGACACTAACATGTACTGTGGGAAAGCAGAAGGATGCCAAGGAGTTGGAGGGACTTACTGTGGGGCCGACTTCCCGGGCGGAGAGAATATAAGAGGTGGATCTGTAAGGGAATGAGAACACAGGCAAAGAATAGTAAGTCCCTCCAGGGTCACAGGCACAGACCCTCTCACCCAACTTTAGGCACCCAGCCTCATACAGAAGGCCTCCAGTCGCGGGGGGGCGGGGGGGGGGAAGCTGGCAAGGCTCTATAGGGCCCTGGGCTCTGGAAATGGACCACGGAGGAGGGAGGGATTTTCCTCCAAGTTTTCAGGTTACTTGGATCCACAGGTCAATGCCCATGGCAGAAGCAGTCAAGAATTCAAATGACATATTGCATTGAGCAAATCTGCTGCAAAAGAACTCTAAAGTGTTAAAAAAAAGCAAAGATGTCATTTTGAGGACTAAGGTGTGCCTAGCCCAAGCCATGGTATTTTCAATCACCTCATATGTATCTGAAAGCCGGACAATGAATTAGGAAGACTGAAGAATTGATGCATTTGAATTATGCGTTGGTGAAGGACACTGAATATACCATGGACCACGAGAAGAATGAGTAACTCTTGTCTTGGAAGAACAGCCAGAAAGTTCCTTAGAAGTGAGGATGGCAAGACATCCTCTCACGTAATAAACCAAAACCAAACCCACTGCCATCAAGTAGATTCTGACTAATAGAGACCCCCATAGGGCTTCAAAGGTGGTAAATATTTACAGAAGTAGATTGCCCAGTCTTGCTTTCACGGAGTGGCTGGTGGGT